GTATGGCGGCCAAATTTTTTTTTTTTTCTTCTGGTTTGAGTGTTCGGGCAAGTAGGTACACGTGTCCGAAGCCCAACGCGCGAATTCCGTTTTTCAGAATTCGACGCGACACCCCCATTTTTGCATTTAACGCGATTTAACGAGGGGTCGGGGGCCCGTTAAACGGATGAATGCACGTTCAATTTTTCGCGTTCTCCGTAAAAAAAATACACAGGCACCAGGTCTCCTCAAACTTATGGGGACTTCCCAGCCTCCAGAGCACTCAGGCTACCTAAACTTATAGAGCGGCCTGATTGCTTCATGCAAACCAAAATAAACAAAGCGCTGGGCTTCCCCAAACTTATGGGGATCTCCCAGCCTTAACGAGCCAACCAAACTGCATACAATACTGCCTTCCTTCCAGCCTTCCCCCAGATGCAACCCTCTTTCGTTCACAATCAGCTTTCAGGCAACCAACAAATTTGAAACTGACCTTGCACCCACATTGCTTTACTAAGTCTGAATTCCAGTCTTGAAAGTCAAACCAAAATCAAAGTACAGGATTCACGCAATACACTCAGTCAAACCATAGAAGGGTATACAGCTAGGCGCTATAGTTGGGTTTATAGAAGGGGTCAGGGAATTACCACACAGTTCCCTGCCTCCAGGACTCCTCCTTAGTCCCAGCAGAGCTCCCGCAATCGGTGGGGCGAACCTCCCACAGAGGCCTTGGCGCTGATTACAGGTTGCAAGCCCGCCTGCCGCCTTTCCACTCGGAACCAATAGGCTAGACTTAGAATAAGAAAGGCAGTAGGAGAAGCTTTTAGGCTCTCTGATCCGAGAAGGGTGCTCTCAGACTCACAAGAGAGGACCGTGATGTCTTGGATCGCCTGAGGGCCCCGCAATGGTGGCCAAAATCAACAGCTTGGTCAAACTTGGAGTCACCCTGCTGAATCAACTCTCCGTTGACAACCCTCTAGTCCGCAGCAACAGACCCTCATCTTTCAGAGATCTCAGCCTTCCCGCCTAGTGTCAAACCCCCACCCTCATCGACCCCAGCCTCACACCACGGGCTACCCCTCTCAACCAACCACGACTACACAGTCTGGGGAGGCTCCTCTAAATATAGCACTTCCCGACGCTTCATTCGAGCACGGTTATAACAACCCCGTACAGTAACGACGGCCCGCAATCACCTTCTCGAAAGGGATGATAGCGGTATACCGCCGCAATGCTTAGCGCAACCGAAGTCCAGGGCGGCCGCCCAGTGCAGCGGTTTAATAAGTCGAAGCTCACTGACCAGCTGCTCGGCCAATTAGCAGCCACGATTCTCGAGCCTCACCAATCACCTCTCTCCCTGCAAGTTTCTTCTCCACGGACCAATTTGAATCGGCCAAGTGGGCGGCCAGGAGCAGGCTGACTGCAACAGCAACGCATTCCGGCACGAGACGATCAACAACGTGCCGGGTCAGCCCACCCAGTCGTACGGGCATAACTTAGCGGGCAGTTTTCCAGTATGCAGCAACATGGTATGTGGCTACGGCCCTCCGACTTGAGCAGGTAAGTGCTCCTTGCCCCCGTGGCTGCCCTACGTCGTTCCTTCCGATAGAATGAGCAAAATTGAATGAGTCTTTTGTTAGGAAGAGACCGGATACATGTGTGCAGGGAAATGGGGAAGCAATATTTTCATCGCTAGGGGCAGCGCTTTGGCCACTAGGTAGGCACCCCACCCCCGCTGCTCACTCGGTAGCCCGACGTACTTGGCCCTCTACTTGGCCACTTTCACACTGCTTCACGGCCAAATGCAGGCGGGTACGTAGCCCCCCCCCCCGATGTACCTGGCTGCAATAGCTGTCAGGTCCGCCCCCCTTTCGTGATCTTCGAAGGCGGGCGAGACTATGTATCTCGTCATCCATCCCCTCCAGGTACGTGTGCACCTCCTGCTCCCTCTCCCTCTCTCTCTCTCTCTGTTATGGCCGAACGTACCTATCCATTGATACGGCCAGAGCAGACGAAACCCGAACAGCGAGGGGTAGGACAAGGACAAACGAAGGGGCCGAATCTACCCCCGAACATTGAAAGATTCATTGCCATAATCGTATCAAGTGAAATTCTACCCCTGAGCGCAACTTCCATCCTACTAACTTCTACTCTACTAACTCATTGCTAATTTTGAGCTCGGATTCGGGGTCGCCGACCTTCAAAACCCCCGAGTCTAGTCTTTGCTCGCCAGGTCTTGTTTAGGCTCGGTCGGGTTTCGCATTGACTTCCCCCTCCATAACGGCAACCCGTTGCCTTCACGCAGCCCATAACACTTGTGGCACCTAATCCACCACTTCACTGCAGATTTCGATCGCGCCATTCAACTGGCGACGCCCCGAAACCCCGGTTTTGACCCCCTCTTCGCTCGATTCCATTCGGAAACGAGCGAGATACTCGTTTCCTCCTTCCTTCCTCCTCCCCGCCGTAGCTCGGCGGAGCCCTTTCTCTTTCTTCCTTCTATTCTACTCACTTTCTCCTAAAACTGACCTCATAATCCTACTCGCCTTGGCCTAAAAACCTGAAATCGGCCTTTACATCGCCCGCTCCGTTAAGGAACGAGCGAGTTATGTCCCCCACATTCGGCCATGGCTCCTTTACTACCTCTCCGAACTTTGAGTGCACCCGGCGCTATTCTGCGCCAAGGTCCATCCTCCCCGCTACTCTACCTCGGCTTCCACACAACGCCCGTCAGCCTGCTGCGCTACCTGGCGGGCCCCGCTGCCTGTCGCCTCGACTGCGCCTTATACCGACGGGCGTCCGACCCGTTCCCTCTTCTCCTCTGCGCTCGTCACTTCAGCACGCCGTCTCTCCTCTGCGCTGCGCTGCCGCCTACCTCGCTCCTTTAGCACCCGTTGGGTTTCAGTCCGACACTACCACCTCCCCTTCGCTTGCTCGGCCCGGCCCTGCTTCTCCTGCCAGCGTTTCGCCCCAAAGGCTAGTGCAGCGCCTGCTGCTCGACCCCTGTGCCGTGTAGAGCCAGTACCGACTTACCAACTGGCGAACTCGTTCACAACGCTCCTCCTTGGCTCCCACTGGGCTGTCCCGCCGCCACCCCTAGCCCTTTTGCTACGCCACTCCGCAGACCCTTTTGTTGTGCCACTCCGCAGACATTTCGTGGCCCGTGGTGAAGCCTACAGCTTGAACCCCAATAAAGCGGGCCCAAATGCGGATCTTAGTGATCGTAGCAAATACTAAAATGGAACCCTCAGGGACAGAAGTGGAGAGGTTTCCCCGCGATCCGAAACTTGCCGTGGCGCCGGCACGGTCTCCCAACAATGCCCCCGGGCCGCCCTCTAGCCCTCTAGCCCCTGCGCCCGAGCATGGCCCGCCATGCTACGGGCCCCAACGACACATCCATTCTCAACCTCTCACGACCGATCGCGGCCGGCCGACGGTGCGCTTGTAGCGGCCCCCACCCTTTCATGCTTCTTCCGCTTCATGGGCAAACCACCCACCTGCTCGCATGCACGTTGACTTCCTCGGCCCACACCTTAAGATGGTGGGACCAAGGTCCTCCACGAGTTTCCCAAATATGCAAGGCACCCATGGGTTAGTGAAAAAGGAGATGCGCCCTCAAGGTCCTTGACCACCATGGCGACCGCCAACTCAGGAAAAGTGATAGTACGTAGTAAATAAAAATATCAAAAACCTTTGATTGCCAGAATATCACGACTTAGGAAAAAGAATACGCTCGCTCTGTGCTGACGCCGCCAATGGCAAAACCAAAAGGGGATAGCCTCGCCAGGCCCTTCGTACTACTCCGATCCCCCGCGCCACTGCCTCTCAATCTTAATCCTTGAATCTCCATGATGAAAGTCCGACACCGTAACCACTAACGCTAGGCCCCAGACCGGGTCTAACTCTAGCGGTTGCCTAAATAAACGGACACCGCGCGATGCGCCCAGTTACTGGGACGCCTTCAGAAGTCATACTGTCATCGATGCCGCCCTCCGCACGTACGCACAG